GTCTTCACATCTTGATTCCATTTCTAAGAAAAGATAAACCCCTCTTAAAAAATGTTGTTCAAGGCCCTCGGATCTGATATCAGTTTGTCGCTACAATCACAAAGAGTAGGCCCTCTCAGCCCCGCATCCAGCATATGGACATGATTGTCTCATTGAATTACAAAGCGCACCCGCATCCTTGAACAGGAGACCGTTGTGGGGGGGGGGGGTTGGGTAGGGAAATCCGCAGAGAATGGCCTGCCATATTGAGTAAGGAGCCAGGGAGCTTGAGAGAGGCGCTTCAGCACATGTTCTATCGACCAGCAGCCATACAATCATACAGACATGGCAACAAAGGGGGGGAATTATACAGACGTGTTGTGATTCTGACCTGTAAACTGAGGAATTAAAATCAGACATAGAGGCTCAAAGAAGGAGGAGAGATTGGCGCATCCACTTATGCCGCTATGTTTCGCTGAATTCTCGTATAGTTGTTATTTGCCCAAAATGCAAGCAACATGCAATCATGTGTGTGCATGTGATGTACCATGCGACTGCTTGTTGACGTGTAATTGTGTGAAGAGGGCTGCCTTATCGATCTGTAGAGCAAGGCCCCATCAATGTTTAATGCAGTCTCTCTCGCTTTTTCATTTCTCTGCCTCCCTCTCTCTGTATCTGTGGAAACAGCCTACCATTTGGTATTGATCTGCCACTTGCTGCTAATGAGAAGGAACTGTGCTTTCTGGCAATGGAAGCTAGGCCCTCCGTTGAGCCTTGATTTTGGCTCGACTTGTGGCTTCTGGGTTTTGACAAGAACACTGGGAGTGTATCAGCTTTAGCGAGCCATACACAATGAGCCAAACCACATCCGTTATATGTTTGAGAGTAACTAATATTCCGCGATGTAGTCACAATACATCCCCCAGCCTTGCAGCTCTTTGAATCTATACCAGGCAAGCTACCCTGACACCTACAAGCTATTGTTTTCCAATTGATTTATGACTTAGTCAACATTAAGCTCTCTATGTTAATAACTTTCCCACAGACTGAACTGCTAGTGAACCTGGCAGTGTTTAATTTATTGGAGCTTGCAGGTGGAGCTGACATAGCAGAATATGAATGCAGGAGAAAACACTCTGGCCTACCCTCCAAACATAAGGGACTACAGCTAGTTGTTGTCTTTCCCTGTCTTCCAAATGACTTGGTACAAACTGATGGGAGAGATAGTAACAGGATGTGCGGTCAGACTTTACTGCGATTGGAATCAGCGAAACATGGAAAGGGAGGACAAATTGTTTAAGGGTGTCTTATAGGCTAAGCTGAGGAGTAATGGAGCGTTAAATTCCTGGATCCCACATACAGTGAGGAAAGATAAGTTAAAGGAAAAATGTTTTTCAGCTACTTAAAATGCATATGTACAGTTACTAGACAACACACAGAAAACGTTGTTTGAACAATACAAATAAATGTATCTGTGTCTAAAAGATGTTCTCATTTAAAAATTACCAGAAGCCAATCTGACAATGTTTCCTTTAAAACGATAATGATATGTTGCTATGAACCTAGTTGTTTTTCGCAGCTTAGGTCATTTAATAAATTATAATTTCAACAATAAACCTGAATTTGCCATAAAAGAGCTGGCTTATCCAATTAATGTGGGTTGCTTGTTTTAAAAGGAATCTCTTCAAATCCACTTATGATTAAATGGATGAATGGTCCACATAACAGCTAATTTAAAACTCACACACATACACGTACACAAGGGACATTTTCCAAATCCCCAGTGCCAGTGGACAGGTGTGTGAGCCTCGGCATGACGGCTGTGCGAGTCCCACCCTGTCGCTAATAACCACTTAGCATACTCCATTCACTCATCTGCTACTCTGATATTCTGCTAATGGTGGACATTAGGTCACATGATATGGCTCATCCTGCCCTCCCAAGGGCCTTTGACCCTTTTTTTTGCTTCCTACCCTCGCCATCTTGCACCTCCTTCCCCCTTCCTTGCTTTTAAAAGGAAATGGGAAATGGCCTACCAAGTGCCCGTGTGATTTGACTAAAGCTTCTGTGATTTCCCCTGAGAAAGGGTTGGCAGTCCCCACAACGCTGGCTGGCGCTTAGGGTTGTTTCATGCTCCTATCTCCCCAGCTGACAGCGAGTCGCACAGGCAGGCAGGCAGGCAGGCTGGAGCTAGCTGGCTGACTGTGTAAACTAGACAAGGCAAGGCTGATCTTAGGGAAATTGAAATACTCTGATGGAAGCTGGTGTGAACAAGGCTGTCACTGTAGGGGTACACAGAAAATTGCTCTCTGAGTTGGCTGGTGAATGTGTGACTGCGTGTGTATATGTGTGTGTGTATGTGCTCAGCATGTGTGTCCGTTTGTGGCTTAATGTGTATCTGTGTAAGTGCTTGTGTGAGCAGCTGAATTACCTAGGCTAATTGGTTTCATGTCTGAGGACAGTTTCTCCCAGTAAGTGGAGATTGAGAATGAAAAGCCTCTTTCTTTCCTACCGGTGGCTTGTCACTCATCCTCTGTGTACTTGTTTTTTACCAAGACCACTTGAACTGCAGATGACGGGCTTCGAGTGCTCCATCATTTGGAATGATTTCCAAATCACTGCAAGTTCAGTCAGATTCCAAGTAAGCAACAGCTGGTGGTGTGTGCTTCCTGTGGAGGAGTAGGTAAAGGGAGGGTGCTTAGGGCTGAAACCTCTTCTTGAACAAGGACAGCGTCTGCTGGTTGTGTCTTTGCATTCAATCAGAGTGAGATTTCTCTCTTATCAACGACACGTGTGGGCGTCGCTACTCGCTAGCCAACCGTTGCTGTGATAGTGGAAGACTTCCAAGCCAAAGACACCATCCGCCGTTGCTCTGAAAATCCCCACACAACCTGCTTATCTACCAGAGATCACCCAGACATACCATCCACTCCTCTGTCTCTGTTTTTTATCTGTCTGGCCACAACAGACTCTACTCAGGGCATGTTGTGGCAGGAGACATAAAAAACATGAAATATGCCCTGGTTCACTCTCAATAAGAGGGAAGGTTTAAGCCAGAAATAAACTGTCAGTAACCGGGGAAGTTATGAATCTATCATTACACTGCTGAGGCCAACATGTCATCCAGTCCATCACTCTATAAATCTATCTGTGTGTGAGAGAGAGGAGCAGGATCGACAAGTCATACTTCTCTCTTCTTTCCTCTGGTTTCCGCATTTCAGTCTGCCAACAGGGCAGATATTAATCAAAACGGGGGGAACTGCCAAACGTATTTGTCTAAGATGTGTCACTGAGGATTAGTAAGAGGTAATCTTTGTCTTATATTACATAGACATGGGGCCAGATAAGACACCTTGTGTAATACAAGTCGAAAGTGAGATAGAGAAATTCTCTAAAACTGTTCCCCTATGACAGATTTTTCTTTCAGAGACCATAACTTTTTATTGTCTCATTTTTGTTTGCAACCAGAGCACGATATAGTAATACAAGGTGCATCTTGAGATTCAGTAAAAATGCTCAGAAAATCCCAGAGAAACACAAGATATCTTTGCCCCTTGTCAATAAAGAAGGGCTGTCAGTCGATCAAAAATATTTAATCGCGATTAATCGGAAATTTTTTATCTGTTCTAAATGTACCTAGAAGAATATTTTTCAAGTTTTTAATACTCTTATCAAAATATGAGTGGACAAATATGCTTTATGCAAATGTTTGTTTATTATCATTTGAACAATGACAAATATTCTCATAAATATTAAACATAACAACCTCTGAACATTACAAATATCCACCTCNCTCTCTCTCTCTCTCTTACACTCTCTCCCAACCCTGTGTACTCCTTTGCACTGAGCCAGTTGCTCAAACAGACAAGCCTGTTTACAGTTGTCGGCGAAATGCCGCTACTCTGTCATCAAAACAGTCAAAGCATGAGACTGAAGTTCCCACTGTGGGTCAAAATAATGTGCTGTGATGTGCAGTCAACACATTGGATGCGATCCGAATTATCTAACGCCCCTCGTCCTCCACAATGTTAAGCTGTAGCCACCCATTTAGCTATCGCTGTTGTTGTCCAGGCGTCTTTTGATGCGTCTCCCCGGCAAACTTTCACGCGTGGTCTGCCGCAAGCGAGCGGCAGGAGCGGGGCTGTCAGCATCAGCTGTGTACTTGGCTTGCTGTTTAAAACACTTTTTTTGTATCCATATCTCTCGCTAGAATCTCCCACCATCCAACTAACAACAACGTCAAGCCTTTGGGCTCTGAAACTATGGGAAGGGCCGAGGACAAATACACATGCGTTAATCGCACGTTAAAAAATAATTAGTGGCATTAAAAAAATTGTGCGTTAACGCATCATTAACGCGTTAAATTGACAGCCCTACAATAAAGCTCCCTCAATACTGCACATTTTGGAAACATCTATATTTTATAACCTTGGTTTGAGAAGAACTGACACAAACAGTACTGGGATATCTGCCAAAGTTTCCATTGTATGTCCCCACTCAGAGTAAACACACTGCAAAGGCCTTGTCTTGGAGGGCTTCCTCTGCATTTGTGAATCCGTTTTTTGTGTAAACAAACAATGTGACACATTTTAGCACTAACATACAATCACATGCAAACCCATGCTGTGTTACTCATGTGCACTCAGACAAATACAACCACATCCACTCCAATGCATGCACACGCCCGCACACAGACAAAGGCAGGATGCACACACTGGTTGTCCTGCTCACACAGAGAGAACACAATCCAAAGCACAGCATTCAACAGCATGACAGAGGCTCTCCGACATTCCTTCCAGCAAAAGTGCCAAAGCTTTGTTTCCATGTCTCTTGTCTTAACAGAAGTCTTGCAGAGATGGATGAAGCGCTGTGAAGGATTCATCTCCTCTCTGTGCATCAATGATAGTGTCAAGTGATCACTGGGGCTTGAATGCAGTTCAACTCTGTGGAATGATACTCAAAATAGCTTTCCTGAGGCTAACCACTGTCTTCCTCTCTCTCTCCCTCTTCCTTCGCTGCAGAGACCGTGATGGACACTCGGGTGGCCACAGCTGAACTGGGCTGGACAGCATATCCAAATTCAGGGGTGAGTCGGATATTGCTAAGACTTAAGCATGCTGGGTAAAAAATTGTGCAAACTATTTCTGATGGGAAAAATATACGGTGATATGTAACATGAAACACAGTGCACGTACAGTTCTACAACCAGACAGACAAATAGGCAGGAAGGCATTCAGGATGGGAGTATAGACTTAAGTAGTGCCCAATGTATCTCCTATTATGGGTATTATTTTCTCTGTGCCCTAGCTCATAATGACTTAATGACATAATGGGCCCACCTAAGCCCCAGAACACAGTACCTAAGTCCCTGTAAATGGAGGCTGGGGGATACCATAGACATAATGATACTGTAATGATACATTTATGCTGGGAAGTGGAGGTATTAGGATGAAACGGAGGAGGAGGAGCTAAGAAGATGGAAACGCTCAGGGCTTTGTCAGATTTTTGGAGAACTATTTTCAACTTTCAGGTAGTTTCATGCACATGAAAGCGTTGGAAATGGAAGAAAGTGCAAAGTCATCTGAATCAGAACAGGTTTCTTTTTTTCCTGAAAGAATCACAGTATCAAAAGTATGATTGCCCTATTACACTAATGGATTTAAAGACCATTTTAGGGCCTTTTTCTCTTTGCCCTAATTCAATATTTTAAGCTCCATAGACTAACACTGATAGCATGAATCTGGCAAGAGCCGTCCAGAGAATGACTTTTTCCTTCATTTTCTGGGTCTGTGGGTCTTTATGAGGCATTTAACACGTGTGTAAAGGGAGGTTTTATTGCTCTTAAACAGAGCTTTGCCTCTGTTTAAACATTGGAGAGTGTGGCAGTCCACATTTCCTTTAGTTTCCCTAAAGGAGTATTAACTAAAACAACCAGGACCATGGAATAACCAGAAAGATTGTTTATGTGTATACAAATGTATGTTTGTGTGTGCATATATATTTTCACTCACCTAATATAGTTTTGTAATATAATTGTTTTCATGAGTTAGTTTATTAGTTGGGTCCACATTTACATAATTTAAAAGTATGCAATGGAATAAACATGATTTTTAAATAATGGATCATCCTCACACTGTCAATTTCTTTGTGTGAAGAGGAAGTATCTAGTAACTAGAGACATCTACAGTTCTATTTCCAGTAAAGCCTGTTCAGTTCAGCAAGCCTCCAGGCACACAGAGCCTCCTGTCTGTGTTGAGCAGAGTTTTTTAAGCTTCTCCTAGTGTAAAGGTTCAGGCACGGAGAGACCTGCTGTAGGGAGAATACACTCATACCACTCAATGGAAGAACTGAGCATGCTCCATAGCTGCTTTGACCTTGCTGGAAGTGTGTGAGTGATGCTGGGTAGAAATTCACACACACACACAAAATACAAATTCACAAAATGTTATATAATGGACATATTGCATGTAGTCATGGCAAAAGGTCAATCTCATATCCATGGCTGTAGGCTATAATAAGGTGAACATTGGTGTCTATTTAAATATACAGAATGTGTTAGCCATGTGAATACTTGTATAACTACACTTACATATTTTCATTTATTTTAATAGTAGTGGATTTGTTTGTACTGTATTTGTAAGTGGTCAATTTATTTGTCTTTGTTAACCTGGTAACTGCCTCTCACACACAACAAGAAAAAGGGCACTCACACAAGAGTTGTCCCTTTGCTATTAAATACATCTCATTACTTTATTTTTGTAACTTATCCTTCTGGAGTGTATACGAAGTGTGTGTGTGTGTGTGTGTGTGTGTGTGTGTGTGTGTGTGTGTGTGTGTGTGTGTGTGTGTGTGTGTGTGTGTGTGTGTGTGTGTGTGTGTGTGTGTGTGACTGGGTGTGTGTGTTTGACTGGGTGTGTGTGTTTGTGTTTGGCTGACCTGGGGGGTTAATTTTGAAGGATTGCAGAAGCAGTGTCATTAGTTCCAGCGGTGTAAACACAAGGACATATCAGGGTTGGCCATGTGAATGTATAATGGAGCGGCAATATGCGGATGCACACTCCCATGTTTGCCTCTGTCGTAGAGGAGGGCTCAGAAGGAAAACAGATGTGTACAGCAAACAATATGACAATATACTTTAATAATGTACATTTTTGCTCCATCTTTTTCTGTTGTTTCATTTCAGTTGGATATATTCCACTTTCCCCTCTGTGGACTTTCCCCTCCCATTACTTTTTTCTCTGTGTCTGTCTCCCCTTTCGAGTCATTCCTGACTTTCTTTCTTTCTTACAGTCTGTTTTCCTTTCATGCACACCTACCTAAGGAAATAGAGTCTCCTAAAGACACATGCCCTCAACCGTGCTATGTTTTCACGTGACGGATCTAACATTAAGGACAACACACACACATATAACACAACCTGTTTTCTGAAACCTTATTTAAATGATGAACCTGGTTTTTCTTCATTAGGCTTTCAAAGAAAATCTAACAAAAACTATGTATGTAAAAAACCTCTTTACCCTAGTTTGACCAAACTTTAAAGTTATCTCACTTTAGTTGTGGACATAAATGTGTTTTCTCACAGTATCTGGTTTCAGTGTGAACAATGTATGTACAGCAAAGTGAAGTAGGAGAAGAGTAAGTGTTTGTTCTCTAGGTGTTTTTAAAGACATGGTGCAAAAGGTGTTTGAAATACGTGCCAGAAGAAGAAGTCTCTTTTTCTCTTTTTTTCCTTATACTCTTCCCTGTTTTAACTTGAAATGTTTTTATGTTGCCAAAACAGGGTAAGAGCCTGGAAATAAAACACTTTTTTTAAAAACATTTTTAAAAAGTGATTTTTCTTCATATTCCTTAATGACTTAGTATGGGAGTTAGAGAAAATGTGTTTTGCTGGATGACGTTTGGGGGAGTGGGGAAGAGAGGAAAGGGCAGAGAGTGTGGGATGAAAGGAGCTGTGAGAAGAGATGTAGAAGTTATGTCTGAGCAGCTGAAAAGGGTTGCAGGATCAGGAACAGGGTTGAAAAGGGAGGGATTAGGAAAACTGGAGCGAGAGTGCAAGAGATCAACTTTGTGTGAACAGGACTAAAAAAAGGCAGCCGTGCAGAACTTCAATATGGGTGTGCGTGTGGAAGAGAGCTTGGGTTAACTTGTGACTCTGGGAGGTCACAGACAGAGTTCAGGCTTTAAGGTGAGAGCCTTGAGGGGAGGGGTGTTGGGGGGTTAAGGGGTATTAAGGGCGGCGGTGGCTGCGCTGACATAGGCTGTGGGTGTTGTCAAGCGTGGAGAAACAGGGCAGGTTGGTGTGGGGCTTGGGAAAGAGGGGGATAAAGAATTTGCCAAGTGAGCAGACAGGGGGAGAGGAGGACAAACACCGGGGGACACAACAGACATGACAAGGTGCTGGGAGTTAGACAGAAGCTGAAAGATGAAGAGATTTGAGAGAAATCCCTTTGGTTGGAACAGGTGCAGAAGAAGGGATTAAGAACAGAATGGATATAACCCTGACATGCTTGTGTTTCTCACTTTCTTGTAATTCCACATTGTGGACTTGTGTGTGCTCAGGTTAATGTTCAAGAGCCTGAGTTCTGTGTTGCAAATCTGCGTCTGCACATTTGAGTGGGCACAAGTGCTCTTTCTGGTGGTGACACATTTTTGACGGTGCCCAGCCTGGGCTTAAGCAAAGCTCCTGTGAGCGTTAACTGGACAGGTGCAGCACACACTCAGCGATTCCTAAAGAGCACCGATAGATCCATAACAGGCATCTCACCATCTGCTGACCAGACTCGATACACCTCAATTATTCATATCCTGACAGACAGACAGACAGACAGGCAGCAGCTCAGCCAGCATAAGGGAGCACAGGAGGGAAAAGTAAAGGGAGGAAAGTGAAGAAGAAAGAAAGAGGCTGATTGAATGTAGATAATAAGAGTCAGAGGGAGATGGAGAGGAAAAAACACGAGTGGGAAAGAGAGTGAGGGATGGAGGTGAACTTTGAACCTGCGAAGCTCGAGCTGAAATGGAATGAGAAGAGAAAAATGACAGTGACTCATGCTGGCTGCGCTTCAGCGGCCAGGTGAGAAGAGTGCCTTCATTACATGCACGCACACACACACACGCACGCACGCACACACGCACGCACAGACCAGACGGACAAACAGACAGACAGACAGACAGACAGACAGACAGACAGACAGACAGAAAGACAGACACATACAGCACACATGGTTAAGAATTGACCTAAACATATTACCCTTTAAAATGCTACAGAAACGGTTAAAAATTAAATTAATGTACATGCACACATAAAGGAGACATGTTTATGTTACTGGCATACCTGTATCATTTGGCTTCCTCAGTTATTTTTGTGTGATTTGGGTGTGTAGCAAAACAACTGAATTTCCTCCGAGCTTAGACACAGGCATCTCTGCTCAGCTTGAAGACAGAACAGTATGGCAATGAACCGCCTAGATCAAATTGCATCCATCGCTTTATGTCTGTGAGTTTGGGCGTTCGTGTGTATGTTGATGTGATTTTGGTAGCCCCCCCATGTCACATTTTAGCTCTGAACATTTGTTTTCTAGGTACGATTGAATTGACATTCCAAATCGTTTGGAAGGAAAACATGAGCAAGACAGCAGCATCTACATATTTAGAGGATTGCAGTAGGGGTGAAACACAAATAGAATTTTTCTTTTTTGTTTTACATTTTCTTCCTCCAATCTTTTCCACTCTCTTCAACTATTGATTTCCTTCCTGTGGATTTACTCTCCATATTTCACATGTAACAATTATCTTGGATGAATAAGGAGCCAGAGAATTTTTTTGATCGTCAGGGAATAAATAAAACAAGAAAGGGATGAAACCATGGAAGAAAGGATGGGTATATGAGTCTATCCTTAATTTGGTATGAATTTGGTGTGCGAAGGAGTGGCTGGAGGCTGGCTGACTTATGTGTGTGTGGGAGTGAGTGTGTTTTACCCCGGTACCTGCAGTTCCTGCTATTTCAGCAGTCATACAGAGCTGGCAGATATCGCACTAAATCCTTTCTTTCTTCTCCACCACCTTTATATCCACTCTCACTGTTTCCGT